ATGCGTGCTCAATGGTGGTGGGGACGCGGATGTAGGAAGCCTAGGTGATTAGCAGTAGCGGTTGCATATGCGAAGGCAAGAAGGCAAGGTATGAAACCCAGGGGGCAAACCCTTTGGTTTTATAGGGGCAATGGGCGCGAGGAAACCAACCACCTGCCTGGATCTCCATGTCTGCCACAATGTCATGCCGTGGGATATGCGCATGCAATCTCTATCCGTTCCCTCGAAAAACCCACCAGACGTTTTGCCTCTCTGGATGGGTCACGACTCGTTACAAATGCGAGTAATACGGATCCAAAAACACCTCTACGGCCTGTCTAGGCCCAGGAGCTCAAAGGTTGGCCCATCGATAGGTTCCACAACCACTCTGGGTACCTTCAAAGTAAGGAAGTAGAAAGGGGTGGGTCCGCTATCGACCAACACCCAGCCGCACAAGCGCTATGGGCATCCTAGCCCACTTTTGAGTCTCGGATGGATGCGATCCATGGTTATTTCCCTAAGGAAGTCAGAGAGCCCTCCGGACCGGTCAAATGGACCTGAGAACTATATGGATTGACCACTGAGAATCTGGAGTCGGTCACCAGCTGGCCCTAGCCGGCTCCCCGTGAATGGGATATTGGGGCCCCAATCAGGAAAGACCTTTTTCCAACCACCAAAAACTAATGGCCATACCCACGAAGGTTCTGATCTCGATCAAAGGGAACCACCATTCCTAGGTTATGTCATGGGCTATAGAAGAAGGCCAAAAGCCCTCAGAGTCCTCCCGTTTGGAAAAGCCTCCGAAGGAGTATTCTACTCCTCCGAAGGCTCGGGGGCTACTGTCGGGGACCAATACTAGGGTACCCTAAGAGGAAGGGCTAATGGTCGTTATACGTTAATCCATCTAGGCAGTCAAGGGTGCGACTATAGGTCTAACTGATACCGAGGCCGTGGACTCTGCCTCACCCGACCCCTAAGGGCGAGCTCTGCCTCGCCTGACCCCTGAGGGCGGGCGCCACCTCACCCGACGTCTGAGGGCGGGCTTCGCCTTGCCCAACCCCCAAGGGCGAGCTCCGCCTCGCCTGACATCTGAGGACTGGCTCTGCCTCGCCCGATGTCTGAGGGCTAGCTCCACCTTGCCCGACGTCTGAGATCTGCTCTTCCTTGACCATGTCCAATGTTCGGGGCATGACTCCTAACCGAAGCTCACATCACCACCAACAACTATGGGCTAGAAAGTACAACCCAAGGTTAAACTTCTAGCATCGTGTAGGAGCAGTTACATCTCAGCACGACCCATCCCAACGACATGTCATTCTAGGGGACTCACATTGCCCACAATGACGGACACATGGTCACTGTGCTACCTACTCCCTATACGGCTGCTGATCAACACGCTGGGGCACCGCGCCACCCGCCGGATGGGATGGGATGTCATGACCCACTGACAACACCAGGGCATGGAGTCATCAGGCGGACTGGAGCCCGGTGTGGGGCTGTCCCTATCACCACCGGCCATGTCAGCAGGTCCTGCACGAAGGAAAGGAAAGGCCCGACGGCCCTGAAGGACTTCCTCTCCCTCTCGTTCTTCTCTTTTCTCCCATTGTAACCAGTGCTTTCCCTTGGTCTATCAAAGGGAAAGTAGGGCATCCCTTAGAGGGGCATCGGAAAAATGATCAGAGCACCACATCCGAACTCGATTCAACTCAACTCGAATCAGAGCTCATCACCACACACACACCACTAGAGACTTGGGACCTATCTCTCTCTCGACCATTTGTAACCCCTACTATGAACTTTCAGTGCTAGTAACATGAGCAACAGCAATGAACTGGACGTAGGGACATTCTACCCGAACTAGTATAAACCTCGTGTCCTCTTAGCACACCATCCAAGCCAAACGCGCAATAATACAAATATACTCGTTGGTGTTTACTCAAAACACCGACAGAGAGGGAGAACAAGAGAGGTACCTATGGGTTCCTTACCCTTAGGCGAAGCTCAGGAGGGGCTCACGTCGTCGGAGAAGTAGCAGAGCGGCGAAGCGAACAGCGGTGGTGGCTTTAGGGTTTCAAGCTCGGATGCAGCGCTGTGAGCTCGATAGAGGCGGTGGCTGCGAGCTAGTGTTTGGGATGAGGGCAGTGCGGCACCTATGGCTTCATTATATAGGGGTCTAGGCGTGGCGCGCACATTGAATCACAGGGAGTACGGCGGCGGCGAGGATTCTAACTCGGGACAGAGTCTCAGTTGGGCACGTCACGAGGAGGGAGATGACTGACACGTGTGTCCCACCAGTCAGCGAGACAAGGGTGCAGGGCCCAGTCGTTAGACAGAGAGAGGGAGAGGAGAGCTGTCGCGTGGGCGCTGCTGGGCCAGGCGGTGTGAAGCTGGGCCGACTCCAAGAGGGAGAAAGGTAGGGAAGGAAGCGGGTTGAGTGGGCTACAGGGGTGGAGCAGGCCTTTAGGCCGAATGGAGAGGGAGAGGGTGAGTGGCCTTCGGGCCAAAAACAGAGAGGGAGAGTTTTTTTCTTTTTATTCCAAAGCATTTTCCAAACTCATTTTCAAAATCAATTCAAACTATTTTAAATTTTAGACAAAGTCACACATTCCAATAATTCCAATGCACCAGCATGTATGCACAAACAAGTTGCTAAACATTAGGATGAATTTTTAATTTAATGAAAAATATTATTTTTCCTATATTTCATGAACACAAAAATACAAAATTTCAATCACTTTAACTCTATTTCAAAAAGAGCAAATTTTAGGGTGTTACAAGACCTTGGGGTGGTCGTCTCCTTCGGCTCCAGTGAGGTTGAGGGCATGGAGGAGTTCACCACCAGCCTGCTGTGGGGGGTGGGTGTCCTCCTTCCTCTTCCCTTCTTCTCCTTCTCTTCTTCTCTCTTCTCCTCTTCCCACTTCTTCTCTTCTATCTTTTGCTCTCTCTGGTTTCTCACATGAATGAATGAGAGGGAGGGAGTGGAGGGGCTGGTGGATTTTGGTGTGAGGGATAGAGACTTACATGTGGGGCCAAGGTGTGTGTGAGTGTGATAGTGCAGTAGCTGCATGATACACATGTTGGTGTAATTCTACGGACAGTCTCCATAATGACGGACGATCCAATAGACTGGCTGACTGTGCAACGGTTTTGATGGATAGTCTGCTGGTGGCACCGGACACTTCGTCAGTGCATGAGTTGGCTAAAATTATTCTAAGTCTGTGAGCTGTCTTGACGGACGGTCCAGTGGTGATGACGGATGGTGCGCCAAAACAAGCAGTGCTCGGTTTTGGTTAGTCTAAGCACAAGTCAAATTCTAATTTGAATTAAAAATGCACATGATGCTTAACAAGTTCACAAATGTCATGGAAGATTTTTTATTTTAGAAATTTTTAGGTGCATTTTATGCTCAAGGTGCTTGTGAAAAATTGAAATGATTTTTGGATCGTTACAGGATGTCTACCAAAGTTGTAGTGATTTGTGTTGTAGACACCTCCACCAAAGGATGCCCCTCCTAGGTAGAAGCATTCGTCTACGACAAGGGCTCAAAATCATAAAGTCCAATGTCATTGATGCTATAATGCTGCTTCTTGGAAAGGATGCCATCTATGCTGATAGGTGGGATTGGGATGTTTTAGAAGTTGACAACTCACAAATCCATGTAGGTCGTTTGGGTGTTGATAGACAGTATCTCATGAAAATATAGGTTGTCGATCGATGCTTTGAACTATGCAATTGCCAGAATTTTGTCAGGTCATCATGGACTATCCATTAGTGATCGAAGGACTATCATGTGCTTGCCTGATTTGGGGGTTTACTTTAGCACCTTGCAGTGGTATTTATAGAAGAGAGCAAGGGGGTCATCGTACGACCACTTGAGGGGTTGTCCGACCCCCTTCTCCCTCGCTTACTATTCATCTTTGGCATTTATACCTTTCAAAAAAATCTTTGGCATTTATGTTCTTGGATTCCAACATGTCAAGATATAGTAAAGGAGCAAGATGCTAGGTTCTTTTAATGGTCGCCTAACACATCAAGTGGCCTACCAACCATGCCAAAGGTGTTTTGGCCCTCTTCCTTTGTCTAAATCTTGAATCATTGTGTTTTAGTGCTATATAGTAGCAACACATCATGTTAATAGGGTCGTGTGGTCTACTAACCTCATTCATGGTAGATTGATCCCCTACTGTTGCACTTGCTATAATCTTTCTTCCTCGACCATGTTGTTGAGGAAAGGTCATTATAGGAACCTAGCTTTGTCTTGTTGTCCTCCTCACCATTTATACTATTAATATATCTTTCTGGTGTTGATTATTTATTTATATCCTACATGTTTCATCTTGTTATGAATTTATCCCTTGTTTGGATTAGCTGGTAAAATTTAGATACTTGGAAATTTAATGTCATAATCTCAATTGATTCCATGTAAAAATTCAAAAACCATAGAATACTTCGAAGTGAAATCGTACAACAATGTAATGTGCGGCATGCCACTCTCTAGAGGAACAAGTTGCATACATGTGTGCACAGTTTAGGATCAGTTTCTACATGGGAGTCATACATTTCCTTAGTGATAGATATATACCTATGAAATTTCCATCATCTACTCCTCTGATATGTCTAATGTCTAAGTGATCAATATATATAAGAGTATAAGTCCCACAACCAACCATTAAAACAATGAAATAATATAAAATCGGGTAAGTAATAAAATCCAGTGCATAGCTTAGAATAAATAAATAAGCAAAATATAATATTAATTCTAACATAGCCGACACACCAAACTAAGTAAAATGCCACAATGAAACAAGACACATACATTTGAAAGTACCACACAATATTTCATGACAATGAAGTTGCTCCCACACTAGCATAAGAGAATACTATGATGCTTAACCCACATATATAGGATGAACTAATAGGCCACCATGCAACTTGGCATACTAGATGGTGTATAAAACCTAGTTCATGTCTGCATTCATCATCCACTGAGTATCAAGAAGATCTCCCAGCTTATCACTAGTCTAGTCGAAGTGGACCCCATTCGCCTCCATGGTCGGAGCCACTAAAGAACTACTAGCTCCCATCTGCTCCTGTTGCTGGCCAATAGCCAAGGTGTCCATCTGGCTATTGCTGCTACTTCCATGGCCAGTGTGGTACAGGAATGGTGACCAAGCCGGGGCATTGTTCATGGAAGTAGGATGTCCACCAAAGTTGTACTGATTTGTGTTGTAGACACCTCCATCAAATGTGGGCCCCTTCCAGGCAGAAGCATTTGTCTGCAACAAGGGCTCAAAATCATAAAGTCTAATGTCATTGATGCTATAACGCTTCTTCTTGGTGCCATTTTCTTTCCTGAGGAAGTACTTTTGAGCATGGCTGGAAACCTACACTGGGGTCTTGGTGGTAACAAAGTGCCTAGAGATGTTCTTCCAATTTCCGTGACCGTACACATGTAGACCACGGAGGAATTGCCTATAATGAGGTAGAGTTTGAAGTGAACTAATTAGATAGAAATTTAGATTCCATTTCCATATATATTCACGATTGGTAAAAGAAAAATATTATATAAACACCTCATCATAGTAATACCTCATAACCTATGCTTAATAAGGGTACTAAAACTTCATGTGACAAGCATTAAAAATCTATATGAGATGCTTTAAGGATCTAGCAAATAACTAACCTATGCTCGTCTGTGGTCCAAAACCTCCCAGTGTGTTGGATCTCCTTCCGAGGAGTTGGCTTCCTCCATGGAGTCTTCTTCACACTCCTCATGCCGAACATCTCCACTTCTTGATAACCATCAAATGCTTCCATGTTGCCCATGGACGGATCCCCCACAAACACCCCAAAGGGTTGATTCATGAGGTTGCTACTTGCTTCCACAAGTTGGTTGCCACTCTACAATGTTTGCACCATCTCCACCATTACATCAATGTACAAATTGGTTACCTGATGCTTCTCCTTGCTAGGGAACATTGCCTGGAGCTCATCCATAATTTGATTGTGCTTCTTGCTCATATCACTAGCATAATTGTTGTTGGTGTTGTCCCTTGCAATGAGAGATTTCACCATCTTGATCTCAGAAGCACTCCACTCTCCGTTGAACTTGGGATCCATGTGGTTGAGTACTATGCAACAATTGGTAGTTTGAGCTAAGAATGAGGTTTGTTGGGTTGTGGAGATTGGAAAACACCAAGGCTGGTATTTATAGGCCTCATGTGAATCTTTTAATCCAAATTTTGATTAACTGGACAATTGACTTTGATATGAAGGCAAAATTGAGATTTTGATAACAAAGTCAAAGAATATTATACAACCTATATATAGTATATCTCTACTTGTGCAACTTTTTTCTTAAATGCATTAATATTTAGTGCCACAAATTTGCTATAAGCACCATATACACATTGTCAACTTGCCAACGCCAACAGTTTTCCTATGCATTGCACAAACTTGAGAGTAGAAAAGGTAGAGAAACACTAGTGTAGTCTAGTTTGGTTGTGGAGGTGAGGTTTCAAGGCAGACCCATGTGCGCCCAATTATGTTGCCATTGATGGGGTGACATGTGTGGTCATGCATGCCCATACCACCACTGAAGTCATTCCTAGGCACAAAGGATAGAATGATACCAGCATCTAGTTTAGCTACTATTAGTTGACTACATCGTCAATTGGGAAGTCTAATGATTGCAATTCTTCATCTCACATGTGTGATATATATTTATCTATTCAAATATCTTGATGAGCTACTGCAACATAAATAATCATGAACATTTTGAATCTTGTAATATATGCATATCTTTTCTTATGATATGGTACATAATAGTTTTATTTAGTACAGATGTACCAAATGAATGTTAGTATAAGTAATTTTGTTAATTGGAAGTATACAACTAGGTTAGTGTGTGGTTGGTTTGGTCTTCCCTGTTTTCTTGAGAAGTTGTTTCGAATGATCTGAGAAGATATGAATTGCATGTTTTCTTCAGACCTTCATGATTTATGTATGCATGCAGGATAGAGTTGACTAACTAATTTGGTAACAAATGTTTTTGATTGCGTCATAGATGAGTCTTTGTTGATCAGTCGCAAACCACTAGTGATCTTTCTATCAAAGGCTATAAGTGCTCATAATAATTAGTTGACACAAAAGAGCAAGAATTAGAGTTAACCTCAGTAACTTAGTATCTTAAACATTCAAAAACCATTTTATCCTCATATGTTTCCACTTTCATTTTACCTTGGGTTCAGCCAGCTGACAAACCAATAGTATAAATACAATAAGTGGAATAGTTATGTTCATCTTGGAAAGTAATATGTCCATGCAATGATATTCTTAAATATAGCATATGTAGATTGAAATGTGAATGTACTTAATTAGTGTCCATGTTACACATAAACCTACTTATTTACAAAAATTTCCTCAATTTATAAAAAAGAAACTACTTTAGACTCAAGATATAATAGCCTTGGTTCATCATAGTAGAAATGCACATATTTGTGACGAATTTTTAGTGACAAATCAAAATCGTGTCATAGAATAATGCATAACTATGATAATTTTTTTTTGCCATGGATCATTGATGATGGACTTGGGCGCTAACTATTTATGATGAACTATGATATCATCACAGATATTATCATTGAACACCACATGATATCATCATAGATCACACGCGTTGCTCGCATTACTCATCCATGACAATTTATTTTTGAACCATAATGAACATGACTTTGTCATCAAATCAATCACTCATATGTGATGCTCTATTTTTGAACTATAACGAACACCTGTTTGTCATTAAACCATTTAGAGAGCCAGACGTGTTAAGATGTTTGCCTTTCTTAATAATGGTTTCTATAAAACTCAAAAAATGCATAAAATTAAGTGCCTCTGAAGACTTAACCCATAACGATTAGCTCACACAATGCCTCACAACCACTTCAATACACATTCACTTGTGAGTATATATAGGATGCTATCTTTTTGTATGAATATTTTGTAATATTACATTGGATATATATTTTGGCTAAATGAATTCAAATAAAAAATGTTTCAGCTATAAAAGTTTTAAATCTGCAGTACAACTTTGGTATAGGATGTGTCTCAATCTGAGATTGCTTGGAAATATCAAAAATTTGAATCTCAAAATATATAAATTTAAAATAAGTATTTGAGACTCCAAACAATTTCAAATAAAAAACTTATCAACAACATAATTATAGATTAGGTGGACCTCTATAATTTGATATTAACCATGTGAACATTCAAGGTTGTTTAAAAATTTAAAATTTTAAAACCTATGAACTTAAACAATATTTTCGAACTCTAAATAGTTTTAGATCAAAATCTTTTCAACTAAAAGTTATAGATTGCGCGGAGAGCTACAATTTTAACATAAAGTTCGTCTTCATTCAACTTCATATAGAAAATTTATGAATTATTTTTATGCAACTTTAAAAATTAGAAAACAAATGGTCTAAACTAGTGCCATGTGTAATTGTAAGCCTACCTGGCTAGGCCCATCATGCTACGTATTTGTTGGTCCACCATGTTGTTAACAACAAAGCTAAAAAACCCATAAGAAAGAATAGATGTTTCTCATGGCTTGAATCCATAACGTTCAACTTACACAACACCTCCATATTGTGGTACAACACACTCATTTGTGATTACATATAGGATGCTATCTTTATGTATGAATATTTTATAATCTTATATTGAATATTTTAGCTACTAAATGAACTTAAATGAAAAAAGTTTTGATTATAATTTTTTAAATCTACTCAAGCAGAACAACTTCCGTATAGGATGTGTCTCCGTCCAATATTGTTTGAATAATTTCAAAAAAATAAATCTAAAAATATGTGAATGTAAAATAAATATTTGAGACTCTAAATAACTTCAAATAAAAAACTTATCAGCAATAAACTCATAGATTAGGTCGGCCTCTACAACTTTTGTATTGACCATATGAACAATCTAGATTTGTTTGAAAATTATAAATTTTGAATTTCAAAATATAAGTTCTTAAAACACATAGACTACATTGATAACTAGAGCTTTGGTATAGTCCATGTCAAGCATCTGAGGTTGCTTGAAAATTTTAAATTTTAAATTTCAAAAATCAGTGAATTTAGAATAATATTTTGGGACTCTAAATAGTTTCAAATCAAAACCTTCTTGACTACAAAGTTGTAACTTATGTTGATAGCTATGGGAAAAGAAACAAAAAAATAAGGTAGCAAAAGTGCTCAAGCGGGACTTAAAATATAAACCTTCCATTCTGTCGGGTTCATAAACCCGGGGTCCCTCATGGACCGGCTTCCCAGCAAAGGCTTAGCCCAGCAGACAACGTTGCGAACCAACGCGCAACTCTTGGGCCGACCCAAATACCTAAACAGTAGGCCAGAGGGGCGATCCAATTTCCAACCGAAGGCCTGGCCAAGGAGGAACGACGCCCGCTTTTGACTCTGGCCCACCTCTCCGACCGGAGCACTCACTTTGGTCTCCAGCCAGCCTCCGGATGGCCTCTCCAACCGGAAGGCTTGGCCAAACACCACTACCGACTCCGACCCGCTTCTCCGACCGAGGATGCGCCGAACCCCTGCATACAACTCCTCTCCGACTGGCGCAATCAGAGCCGACTGGGACCAACCAACTGGGGACGTCCACTCGGTAAGGACTAGGAAACGGACAGAGAGGTAAGGCAGCGCACTCAAGTCAACCGCAATGCCAGGGACCATACCCTGCATACCTGCAGGACAGTACCCTGTGACCTCCCTAGCATGACAGAACCCAAGCAGTGTTGTAGGCGCTGATATTTTTTCCTATAGTGTTGTGGGCGTCGTCAACTCCCATACCAGACAAGTACGGTAAGGCTCCCCCCACATGCCTCTGAAGCATCAACAGTGTTGTGGGCGTCGACATTTACCATGCTAGGCGAACATGGTAAAACCCCCTATATGCCTCTCGGCATCAACAGTATGGCAGGCACCGACATCTGCCATACCTGAAGAAGACAGCATAACCTCCCACGTGCATCTGACATTCAATAGTATTGTGGGCGCCTACCATCATCCGGTACCCACCGGCATGGGCAACAAGACTTAGTAGCATACGTACTCTCTCCCTCTCACTTGTAAGGCCATCCCCTTCATCTATAAAAGGGGATGCGCTCTCACCCAACAGATAGGGTGATTCAGCTCGATCAGTTTACTAGTACACAACAACAGAACTGCCAGGTTCAAAACACAAGCACATGCTCGAACACTTAGCACATAGCGGGGCTCCTGTCACTCTTGGCCCTTCAGACCAGAGTCCGACCGAACCTTTTGTACCCCTCCCCTATCTTTCTTCTTCTCATTTGTAACCCCACTGCAAACTTCAAGCACCTAGGCTCAGGAATAAAGTCATTGACCGACCCAAACTGGATGTAGGGCACGTTGCCTGAACTAGTATAAACCCTATGTCATTGAGTGCTAGGCCACCTCCGATCATAACGTACAGCAAAACTACAAATATTTATGTGTTGGTCACTTTCTGCACCAACAGTTGGCGCCGTCCGTGGGGAAGATGTTGCACGTTCAACACTTTTTGGTCATTGGATGGCCCACTTTTCTGCCACCTTCGCCATGGCGGGCTCAAGCGATATGACTCGCTTCAGCTCGCTGGATTCTCCCACACTCCCACCTATTGGGATGTGGGTTCCACCCATCTTCGAGCCATCCTAGGCCTTCCTCTTTGGAAGCCTGGACTTCATAGCCGACCGGCTCAGCGTACTACAGCTCCACGAGAAGGCACTTGTTCCGGCGCCCATCAGAGGGGCGCCCTCCATTGGCTCTGAGACACATGACGACTTCAATGACGAGGTGCCTGCGCTTCATTCCGAGCAAACTCTCTGCTCAAACCCTGCTATGAGTAATGTGCATATTGTTATTTACTCTCTATTTACTATCTCCCACCGATTATCCGGAGCGACCATATTGTCCACACCGCAAACACCATACGACCGGTTCCCTACGGCCTCGCATCTCCCACGGATGCGTGCGCTTGAGGGCTCTGAGGGACGCTGGCACCGCCCCCTCTCACATCCAAATTCGTGGGAATGGCAAGCTATG